TTTCTTGTTGTAACTTCTTTAATATTTAAAATTTATGCCTAGAAAACATCTAGATTTCAACTTAAGTTTTCTAGATTCCTTGATGACGGACATAGTGTTATGTAACATGTACCCACTATTACCACTTAAAAAATGTTATGAGTTGACACAGGTATTCATTGTAGTCATAACAAAATGAACTTTAGAGTGAGCTCTGACTTTTTATTGTGGTTACTAGCTTTGTGCTCCCTGGGAGAGTTTCATTTGCTTTTTGAGCGTCCATTTCCTCATCTATAAAATTAGGATAATTAATATAAACGTCATAGAGTCATAATGTAATAAAGATTAAATGAGATTATTTTAGTCTCTAGGTCATGAATGGGATTCACTAGTGCCAATTCCCATTTGCTTCTTCCTTAATGGCTATGTAGAATTTTATTGTATTACTAGTTTTCATATTATTGAGTATTAGGCTGCTTCCAGGTTCACTACTATAAATAGTATTGCTAAAACATCTCTATAGTAATCACTTTTTTCTTTTGGGATTATTTTCTTGGAGTGTATTTCTCAAAGTTGAGTTAATAGATAAAAAAGTTTTTTTTAATCATTTTATTGGGGGCTCGTACAACTCTTATCACAATCATACATACATCCATTGTGTCAAGCACATTTGTACATTTGTTGCCATCATCATTCTCAAAACATTTGCTTTCTACTTGAGCCCTTGGTATCAGGTCCTCATTTTTCCCCCTCCCTCCTCGCTCCCCCCTCCCTCATGAACCCTTGATAATTTATAAATTATTATTATTTTGTCATATCTTACACTGTCTGATGTCTCCCTTCACCCACTTTTCTGTTGTCCACCCCCCAGGGAGGAGGTTATATGTAGATCATTGTAATCAGTTCCCCCTTTCCACCCTACTCTCCCTCTACCCTCCTGGGATAAAAACAGTTTTATAGCTCTTGTCAGGCATTACCCAGCTGTCCAGAAAGATAGTATTGATTTTTTACAATGACAGTATTGTATAAGAATATGTTTCCCCAGGGCTACTGGGAAATTGGTTTTAATAATTTTCTAGTTTGTCTAATGTTATTAGTTTTTTTTTTTTGTTTTTTTTTTTTTTTTTAACATTTTATTAAGGGCTCATACAACTGTTATCCCAATCCATACACACATCAATTGTGAATGTTATTAGTTTTTAGTGATACTTTGGGGCTGATTTAATTTGGATTTGTCTAATTGATTGCAAGATTATGTGACTTAACTTTCAATTATATTCTGTCTGATACATTAAAAATCTTTCATGTATTTTTGTAACTCACTCACTGCCTTCAATTTAATTCTGACTCGGTGACCCCATAGGACAAACTGGAACTGCCCCTTTGAGTTTCCAAAGCTTTAAATCTTTAAGGAAGCATTTCCCAAAGAGCAACTGGTAGTGTTCAAACTGCTGACCTTGCTACTAGCAGCCCAATTCATAAGCCTCTATGCCACCAGAGCGCCTTATTTCTCCAACCCCATATTTCTCCTGTGAAATACCTGGTGGTTTTGGACTGCAGACCTTGTGGATCGCAGCCCAACTCATAACCACTACAACTGAGTTACACGTTGGCCTACTAACCACATGGTTAGTAGTTGGAAACTACCAGCCACTCTGCGGAAGAAAGATGAGGATTTCTGCTCCCGTAAAGAGTTACAGTCTCAGAAACCCACACGAGCAGGTCTACCCAGGCCTATAGGGTTGCTATGAGTTGGAATCGACTTGATGGTAATAAGTTTTATGTGACTTTAAGCAGATTATTTTGCCTGTATTTGCTGTAAAATGGGGGTAGTGATCTTTAAGATTCCTTCTATTGTTAAAGTTCTACCATGTTTCCCTGAAAGTAAGACATCCCCTCAAAATAAGACCTACTTACAGTTTTGCCTCTCGCTGAAATATAAGGCACCCGAAAATAAGACCTCCCTGAAAATAAGGCCTCCCCAATAATAAGGCCCCCCAAAGCTACCATAACTCTGGACTCTGGACCATAGTGGTGGGAGCTGCTGCGCAGCTCAGTGTTGGCCACAGTGCAGCCTGAGCAGATAGGAAGTGCGAGGTCTCTTAATCAGAGCTGCCGCCTGCTGCTCACTCTGCCCTGATGGAGTCTGGCTGACTCACAATTAGACAGTGAGTCATGCAGGGCAGGAGTAACAAGAAATTTTTGATACTGTAGGATTCACAGTTTGTCTGGTTATGCTGGTTTGTGATGACTACCATCGTACCGTACACAGGTAATAAATTTCCTTTATTGTTGTTCAACAATAAATGTGTACCGTATTCTTCTTCATGGAAAAATAAGACACCCCCTGAAAATAAGACCTAGCGCACCTTTGGGAGCAAAAATTAATATGATACTGTCTTATTTTCGGGGAAACAGGGTAGGTGTCTCTCACCCCTCTAGCTCCTGATCCAGTACATTTGTCTCTCATTATCTGTGAGGTATTGGTTCTAAGACCTCTAATGTTTACCCAAACCCAAGGTCCTGCATATAAAATCAAATTCAATTCATTACTGTCCAGTTGATTCAGACTGCCCATAGCCTTTCCAAGGCTGTACATCCTGCTGGAAACAGATTACCACATCTCTCTCTTGCAGAGGTTCGAACCACTGATCTGGTTAGCAGCCCAGTACTGGAACCATTGTGTCACAGGGCTCCTTTCCTTATATAAAATTGTGTATAGCTTACATATATTCTTTCATGTGTAGTTTAAATCATCTCTTGTTTAAGTGCCATCAATTACGTTCCAATTTATAGCAATCCCAGGTATAACAGAATGAAACACCTCTAGGTTACTTACAATGCTTAATGCAGTATAAGTACTTTGACCACATAATTGTTATGTTTTTAATTATTCTTGGATATTTTCTATCTGTGGTTGGTTGCCTCTGTGATGTAGAACCTGCAGATACAGAGGGCCGGCCGTTTTGAGAATATCCTGAATTCTCTGATATTGTTGGTTTCATCTGTTGAGTGCATATTCTCCTGAGTAGCCAGGCATATCTTATTTATTTATTTTTTTAATAGTTCGAAGTGTGTTTATTGACCTTTAGGAGTGTTTTCTGGTCAAGCTGATGGCGTGCCACGCCCTGGCCCAAAAGTCTGTTTTTGGCATTCCCTGGGAGACTTTGTGGCTCTTTTTCCCTTGCTGTTCTGTTGCACTCTCTTAGTGTTTCTCCTCAGTGTAGTGGTGTCAGATCAGGCACAATTCCCACACTTTGTCTCCAGTGTTGTCCCTTGTAGTGCTGTGGGACAGTGAGGGATGTTGCGTCTTACAGTGGGACCTGCCCTATGGTCCCGTGTGCATTGGCTGCTCTGAGCAGGAATATCGTCCTCAGGGTTTGGTGGGCTAGGAGGCATATCTTTTAAAAACATAAATCTGATCATATCATTCTTCTGCTTAGAATCCTTCAGTAGCTTCTCATTACTCTGAGGATAAGTACCAACCCCTGATGCCCACCAGGACTGCATGATCTGCTCAGTTTATGTATCAATTCCTGCATTTGCACCCTTATCCTCAGGGTTTCAGCTTCAAAGGAGTTTCTCTTAACATATATCCTAAATTTTCTTCCATCCCAAAGCAGTTACTTTTCTGGAAGGGGAGTGGAGAAAAACTCCTGTTCAACTTTCAGATTTTAGAAAAATGGCCTTCAGGGAATTTCAAATGTTAACTGTGGACTCTTGGACATGTCATTTAGCCTCTTTGATCCTTTTTCCAAGTCAATATAGAGAGGGTGAAAATAATTCCTACTTCCTAAGATTGTAGTGAAGACTAAATGAGATAATACATATAATATTTAGTGTAACATCTGGCGCATAGCAAGTAACACTTGGGCAAGTAGTAATAAAAGGAGCTTTAATCACTAATTGCTGATAAGGAACAAATTAAGAGCAGAAAGGTGATCATGAAAGGCTCTGTGAGTAAAAGATTTATTCCTTTCATTACTCTAACAACTGGTTGCCTACTAGACTGAAACTCTGAGAGCTGGAACATAGTGGAACTTCCTAGAGCTTGTCACTTTTCTGCCTTTAATAGCATGAGCCTTGCACTTTTCTATTGTTCTCTATTGTGGAAAATATTTGAGTTTTCCATCTCTGCTAGGTTGCCACCTTACACAAGTTCTAGCTTTCACCAGTTTTACCTTGCAAGTACTAGATAGTATGCTAGTCACTAAATGTCTAGGGACTGACTAGATGGTAAAAAGATGGTGCTTTAGTTACGTAGTCCTGCTATAACAGAAACACCATAAATGGATGGCTTTAACAAACAGAAATCTGTTTTCTCACAGTGTAAGAGGCTCTAAGTTTGAATTCGGGGTGCTGGCTCTATGGTCAAGCTTTCTCTCTGTGTTGGCTCGGGAGGAAAGGTCCACACCTCTTCTGAGCTTCTGCTCCTGGGTGATCTTCATAGGCATGGCATCTACTGCCCGCCATCTCTGCTTCTCTCAGACTTGTGTAATCTCTCTCCCTCTTTCTTTTTCAAGTTAACCAAAACTATTCATATGTATTTATTTTCTTTTTGTACACATGATATTTGTTACAGAGTTATCAGCAAGAAGAGAAGGCAAGTCACAATGTGTGAGCATTTTTTTAAAAAGCAGTTTTACTGGTACACAATCACATACCATACAATTCAATGGTTTGAATAGATTTTATATCATACCCTACACTAATTCTGTCTCTTTAGACCATTCCCCATGGGATTATAATCACAGCCATAGAGGCTGGGATTTACAATACATATTTTTAGGGGACACAGCTCAATCCATAGCAGATGGCTTGGCAATTTTGAAGAAAGAAATTTGAGCCAAGATTCAGCTTATGAGGAGAGAAGATGGGTTAGCTAGAGGGACACAGATTATGGAGCAGAGTTGAAGCAGAGAATTTGTGGGTTCCTCTTATTCGAAGACTAGGTAGTCATCTGAGCATCATTGTGCCTGAGAATCTTAGTGATATCTGGGTTTCTCTTTCTTGCAGAGTTTTGGGGAAGCATCGCCAAGGAATTTTATTGGAAGACTCCATGCCCTGGTCCATTCCTTCAGTACAACTTTGATGTGACTAAAGGGAAAATCTTCATTGAATGGATGAAAGGAGCAACTACCAACATCTGCTACAATGTACTGGACCGGAATGTCCACGAGAAAAAACTTGGAGATAAAGTTGCTTTTTACTGGTAAAAACATCATTTTATGGTCTCTGACAGATAAAACCAGGCACCCCTCATATTTCTATAGGGCTTCATAGTTCACAAGATATTTTAAAATCTATTAACTCATTTTATATTTAAAGTAATCTGGTAGAGTAAACAAAGTATCACTAGCTTAATGTCTCAGGTGAGGAAAGATACTTTAAGAAAGTTAAATGACTTCCCTAAAGTTGCATATCTAGTATGTGACAGGGCTGACATTCAGGATCAAGTATCCTTCTAGAACAGCATTCTTGGCTTGTGGTTGGAGTAAAAGGAGCCGAGAAGGAAAATGAAAGGGAATTTGTTTCTCATTATTTTTCTGAGGGGGTTGGAGGGAGGAAAATAGGTTTTGATTTTCTCATTACACTATCATCAGTACCTTTTATTGAGCTATGCACCAACATTCGCTGCTTACAACAATCACGAGAGCACTATTTGTTTTGTTTTACATAATGGGGCTCCAAAAAGTTTATAGACAACCGAAAAGTGGATGAAGGGAGACGTCGGACAGGGCAAGATATGA